GCTGGAACGCACGCATCCTTTTCGTCTTATCATAGACACACTGGCCATTTAATTTCTCCTCCTGCGATTTACGTTTGGGAATTGGAGGGCAAGCGCCGTCCAAATACTTCCACATAACAACCTTGATGTTAGTATTATACTATTGGATAAGGATGTACCTACTATTAGTACACTAGTAGTAGTAGTACTACTACTGTACTAGTACTAGTGGCAGTGCTGATACTGATATAGCTCTAGTAGTAGTAGTACTAGAGCTAATACTGATAGTGATCAGGAATAAAATTTATTTTTCGGGGGCTACCTTTTCAAGCTCGCGTGCATGAAAATAGCTCTCTAAAATTTGGTTTCCATTGAACTCTATGCAAATTTCCGGGGGCATTTCCGGGGCTCTTTTTGGCATTTCGTGGGCTAAATCGCCCCGAGCCCCCGTGTATTTTTTTCACTGATAGTGATGCAGATGGGGTCGTTGTCGTATCAGGTACTACAGATATGTACCCGAGGTAGTTTTAGGTTGTTTAGTATTATTTATATATTTTTAGCTCATCTGACATAGTCAGATGCAGCTTGTAGTATCGCATGATCGTCCGTGCGAGCGTCCGTCCATCCGTCAACAGTTGGGCACAAATCTTAACCGCTCGACGTACGGTCACGATATTCGGGACGTGGGGGGGTAATCGGAAAACGAGTTGGGATGGATCCCAGCGTTCGCTCAATCCCTCCGTTGTCCTCATTTCTATTCATCTTTCGCTCTCCTCCTTCTTGGCTCTTCAGGCCATCTCTCTCATCCGGGCTCTCGACTCTCTCTCTCTCTCATCATCTCATCTGCTCTCTCTTGCTCTCTCTTCCCTTCACAGCTCCTCAGTCTCTCGCCTCTTCTCTCTCGCAATCGCTCACGACTACTCTCCCGTCGTTGTCTCTACATCTTTACTTGTCTTTGCCTTTCTCATCTCTTTCTCTCTGCCACCCTCTCTCTCTCCTCTCTCATCTCTCTTCTTTCTCCGTTTCACTCTTTCGATGGCCTCCCTCTCTCTCGGTCTTTTCTTCTCTACGTCTCTCTCCTCTTCTCTCGGCCTCTCTCTATCCAATCTCTCCGCTTTCCCCGATCTCGTCCTCCTCCTCTCTCACTCTCTCTCTCTCGTCTCTCTACTCTCTTCTCTCACTCTCATCTCTCTCTGCCTCGTCTTCTCCTCTCGTCATCTCTCTCTCCTCTCTCCTCGCGGCTCGCGTCTCATCTCATCTACTCACTCTCTCCCCTCGCTCTCTCTCTCCCTTTCTCTCAATTCTCTCTTCTCTCGAGGCGGTAGTGCTGCCGGACGAGGCTGATACCGACTTGATTGGATCTATACAGATGTCTGGATTCGTCTGATGATCTTCTAACACTAGCAAGGACCGGGTTTCGTGGAGCTAGCAAGAGGGTTAACAGGTTTTCATATAAGCTTCACATAAATGTTATACTATATGTTAATTCGGGTGCACTCCGGCAGCCCATGTTTATAGCTATGTATAACTCGGTTTCCACAGCAGGCGGCCAGCGATAGGTAGAAAGATTATGAAACATTTTCTAAAAAGTGCTTGTCCGGCGGACAAGCATACCTGAAAAACAGATCTAACTTGTCCTCCGTGGAAATGGACAAAGTACGGAACAAACGGATAGTCCCG